AAAAAAAAAAAAAAAAAAAAAAAAAGCATTTAGCCCCTCCTCAGTGTTGTAATCCCAGCTGGAGTTTCTTTGTCCTGTGCAGTTTTTCCCATATCTAATCTCATGTATTTCTCAGCCACCTTTAAAATTCTTTCCCTCTCCTCTGAACAAAACACAGTTAACATTATCTATTAACAGTCACCCCAGGTGGGGTGGTGAGCCTCAAACACCAATTCCAGCAAAGTAATCAAAGCCCAAGTTTGCTCTGAAAAGGGATTTTGAGTTCTCCAAATGCAGAATGAGTGTTTCCTCCCAGCTCCATCACAGCAGTCTGCCAGAGAGGCAAGACTGGGATTGGACCCAAGGAGGAGACTTCCTCATCCGAATCTGTGATCGGCTCAGGGGAAGGCCGGCTGTGGTGGCGAGAATGGAAAGCCACAGGGTCAGTGCTGCAGCTGAGGAAGACTCTCCCACTGAGGCAAGCAAGGGGGTGTGCAGAATGGGGTGGTGGCTGAGTTGGGAGACAAAAGAGAGGATCATCTTCCTCAGGAGCTAAACAAGGGCTTTCTGCCTAGGGGACCTTTCCGTAATTACCAGAACTTGATTTGGAATCCACAAACGCACACTACCTTTAAATTTGTCACAATTCTTAATCGTGCATAAGCCAGAATGGTGGGCTTACTGTCTGCCTAGCCCATGATAGGTCAATTTAGAACAAAGACAGAACAGTTTACCTTAGCAGGTCTTTCCTCCCCCACTCAACCAACAATCCAAACAAGAGCCCAAGGGTGCAGTGACCGGAAATTACTGGCACATTTGGGAGAAAAACATAGAGCAGGCAAACAGACAAACAAAGCCAAACAATCCCGGGAATCATGAGTCACCACTGACTATCAGTTTGAAAAATTTTTATAGAGTCCAGAACTGACCAAATCCAAAACAAACTCAGAGACAAACTCTGAACAAACTCAGAGACAAAGTTCTGAACGAACTCAGAGACAAAGCTCTGAGCAAACTCAGCTATACTGAGACCAAATGGCTGCCATGTCTGGGAGCCCAGGCCCATCAAATTGTCAGTCTGGAAAAAGAAATCAAAGGCAAACAATAGAATCCAATTTTAAATCTTACCTAGGTCAGAGAGTGGAGCTTTAGTCGTTCCACTTATGCAACTTTAGCATCCTGGTACACAGTCACCCCAGGTGGCCAGCTGAAATCAGCTGGGG